CCCAAGGCTTTGAGATAATAAATTGTGTGCTTGGTTTACAAGAAATACATTCTAGCTGCCAATTATTTATATTAAATAATTTAAACTCCAAAATTTTTGCAGGCACCTTCTGATTTCATCTATCTATACTTCCATGCTCGAGCCTGATACTCAGATGAAGCACTCAGAATTAACATTGGATTTTGAAAATATAAGCCTGAGGATTGAACAAGAGTCCTCGCATTTCGTGTATTATTACCAGCAATAAAGGCACACAGTTTAGATACTCAGTGACATTAGTGTCTTCAAATGCAGAGATTTAGCCAGCTGAATTTTAGTAAAAAGTTTTGTCAAAGTACACAGAGAAATAGAACCTTACTCCCCTTTTCTATGTTGTATTGTGTATGCAGGGCAAACAGAAGTTCAAAGAAAAAAGAAATTGTATTTGTCATCTTACAGTCAGTACAAATAACTCTGAATGTGCTTAGGAAGCAAATCTATGCTCTCTCTAATGACTTCTCTGCAGAGAACTGCACATTCATGCTTCTAAAGTTCAACCTATTTAAGGCAATCATTCCCTTCTGCCTCTGAAAAGCATTGTTGTTGGCACAGAAAACATGCACATGCTTTCTCGCATGATTCGCTGAGTTGTAATGTACAGGGAGAAGTGTATTAAAGAAATTTGTTTCCAAGACTAAAAAGTTGCAGAACTTAAGAATTTTAAAAAGCAAGATAGTTCCTTTGACCCCTCTGAGTAGGACTGAGTGTCTTTAATATTTTCTGCAGCCAAGAAGGAATGTGATATGTACCAGATCACCACAAAGATTCCACACAAGAAAAGATTTGGAAGTCATAGAAAGCAACACAACTCCACTGAATAGAAGAGCTTGGGGAGAAGAATTTCAAACCAACACAAGTAAGAAAAGGTACATCACCAAGGCAAATTCTTAGGCAAATTGCACAAACAAATACAAAATATGAGAGAAAGTCTTCTTACCCCATACACCTTCTTGGCTCCTGCCTTTGCAGCAAACATGGAGAGGATTCCTGTGCCACTTCCAACATCGAGGACAATCTTATCTTTAAAAACATGTTTATTGTGATACATTGAATTTCTATAGGTTAATGTGCGCACTTCATCCTTCAACATCTCCTGTGATGAAACAAAAGCATGGTACTATTATTTGAAGTGCTTATGTGCATTCAACACCGCTGCTGAACGCATTCCCTTATTATAATATAAGCGTTATTAACACACAGTCAGAAGAGTTTTTCAAGTACTTTGGACTGCACACATAAAAGCAACTGTAAAATGCAAACTACTTAGAATTGAATTATTAAGAAGCAGCATGATATCCTTTGTACAATTTTATTTCTCTAAATATTACTTCACTGTTACAATTGACAACCAGAATGCAATCTAACCATAGCACTTTGGGCACAGACAGAAGCCATCCAGAAATCCAAGCTTTCCTTTTCTCCTAAATCATGCAGAGCCTCAGTGGAGGGACCTTATGAGGTTCCTCTTTGAACACAAAATAAATCATTCCATAAACGAATATAAGACAGCAGTCTTGATAGCCTTGCCCAAAATGATGCAAAAAGTCGATAGCAGAGCTTAGATACTGTGCTGTATGGTACTCCCTTACTGTTCTTCTCATTGTTCACTCATTTATATGACTAATTTTGAGAAGAAACTCATGTATAACCTAGACCGGGTTACCAGCCAACATTTTACCAATCTCCCAGTAAAGAACATTTTTTTCTGATTAAATTTGTGCCCATGACACCAACCAGCTCCTTCAGCCCTGCTGGAGAGAGTCCATCAGGTTTATAGACTTATGTATGTCCTATTTCTTTAAGAGATCCTTCTATGTCGAGGGTAAGTCTCCCTCACTCTAGACTTTGTCACTCACCTTACAGACCTAGGATTCCTGAAGGTTAAGTCTTCCCAGTAAAACCAGAACTGCAGAAGTAATTTTCCATGTCCTTTGTCACCAGATACTCTGCCTCATTCAGCAACAGTCACAACTTTTCATTTTGCTGTTAATACACCTAGAGAAGACCTGCTTTGTTATCCTTCCCATCCCTTGCCAGATTCATGTCCAGATGCAACTTAGCTTTCCTAACTCTGGCCCTGAAGTTATTTCTGGGTCACCTGACCCTTATTCTACCTCTGGTATGCTTCTTTTTTGGTTTGAATCTTGTCAGGAGCTTCCTGTTCACTCATGCAGACCTCCTGCCACCACTGCTTGACTTTCTGCATGTTAGGATGGACTGTTTTTGGAAGAGATGAGCCTTGAAAATCATCCAGTTTTCCTGGACCTCTCTTCTCTGCAGGACCATCTTCCATGAGATGTTTCCAAGAAGATCCCTGAAAAGGATGAAGACTGCTCTCCTGAAACCCACAGCTGTCAACAAGACAAAATGCATGGATCCTGAAAGAGCATCCATGCTCTCAGGATCCTGAACTTCACCATTTCATGGTTAATGCAGCTAAGCCTGTCCTAACCATCACATCCCCAGCTGATCCATTCTTTTTAGTAGGTGTCAGGACGATCAGAACACCACACTCCCCCACACACCCTCCACCCCCCCCACTCCCCATTGATTCAGGTCATCTGTGCCAGGAATTTATCATCATGTACTCCAAAAATGTCCCGGATTGCTTATGGCCTGTTCTGTTGTCTTTCAGCAGATGTTGGGGTGATTAAAGTCCCCCATGGACCAGAAATCAGACTCATGTCTCATGCAGACATGAGACTTCTTTCAGCTATCTGAAGAAGTTCTCATCTATTTCTTCTTCCTGATTAGATGGTCTGTAGCAGACACCCACACTGATGTCAACCATGTTGGTCTGTTGTTTAGTCCTGACCCATAAGCTGTCAGCTGGAACACCATCTGTCCCATAGTGGACATGATTCCATGCACTGAGCTGCTCTGTGTCCCTTCTTACCTTTCTAGAGTGTCTCTTCCAAAGAGCCTGTATCCAGCTATTGTGGCATTCCAGTCATGCGAGCAATCTCACAGCATCTCTTTGATCCCTGTGAGACTGCAGCCACTGCACACTAACCTCTAATTCCTCCTGATCATTTCCCAGGCTGCATGTATTAGTGTACAGAAACTTCAGAGAAGCTCTCTATCATGTTAATTTTCCAGAAGAGGTATGAGACCTTTCCCCATAATGCTGACTCTTGGTACTTCCTTTTTTGTGTGCTTACACTTGGGTTGGGTCCCTTCTGCTCTGTTTTATTGACTGACTATGAGGTCTTGTCCACACCACCCTGCATTTTTTGCTTACCTACTCAGTCCACCACTTCCCCATGTGACTGTGGGTCATCATCTCTTTCCTCTATCATTCTTAACTTAAAGGTCTCCTCATTAGATTGGCCAACTTGTTGGAAAAGATGCTTTTGGCTTGGTCTGTCAGGTGTATTCCATTTCTTCCTAGCAGACCCCAGTTCTCAAAGAGGGTCCAGTAGACGTAAAAGCTGAAAGCTTATAATTGACACCAGCTGCACAACCGTTGTGGACCTGAAGGAGAGCACTTCTCCTCAAGTCCTTATTTGCACTGTTAGAATTGAGGTAAAAAACCACCTCACGCAATTTGCTGTGATTATCATCCCAAGAACTGTGTAGTCACACTTGAGATGCTCCAGGTCTCTTTGATGCTCATGTGGAAGAGCAGCAGTAGTAATCCAAGGTTGGTCTAAGGGCTGGATAAATGTCAGCAACCTCTCCACAATGTCTCAGATCCAAATGCCAAGACAGCAGGTCAGGTCAGGAGATGGGGTCCTCTGTTGCCCACAGGAGAGAGCCTTCCACTACTATCACTTGTCACTTCCTCCCATAACTTCTGTGTGGCTCAGGGCTAACTGGTTCTGATGCTTCATTGGACAGAAGTTCCTGCCCCTCAACTACAATGAAGGCACTGAATCTATTCTGCAGCTAGAGATCTGCAGGTGGATCAGGAGCCTTCTTCTTGTTTCCAGAACTCACAAGTTTCCAGCCTTCACCATCAGAGAAGTCTCCACTTCCAAACATGCTAAGTACAGACTCTGACTGTCTCTCCTTTCAGTACAGGTGGGGATTTAGGCTCTTGTACCTTCAGGAACTTGGAGAAGATCCAGTCAGTCTCTTTCTCATGTCCCTGATGATGAAAAGTCTGCCAGCCTCCTCTATCAGCTCCTTTACTTGCTGACACAGATCTTCTACCAGTGCACACCTCCTGCAGGCAAGGAGGCAACCTCCCACTTCTCAGCTTCAGCAAGAGGCCCCAGGTACATCCTGCACTCCCTGAGACCTACAGAGCTGCATCCTTCCATCCTGAGCTCAATCTGATTTGAGGTCTCTGATGTGTCTTCAATATTTCTCTTAGGTCTCCTTTGCACTCAATTGTTCCTCTATCTTCTTCCATTCTTGGACTGAATTCCTGAATGCTACACTGGCAAGATGTAACTGTCAGATGGAAAACTTTTGTTTATGTATATGTAGTAGTTTAACTTGGTTGGCAGCCAAACACCACACAGCCACTCGCATCGCCCCCTCCCTTCCCCCCCACCCAGGGAATAGAGGAGAGTATTGGAGGGGTAAAGGTAAGGAGACTCATAGGTTTTGACAAGAACAATTTAATAATTGTAATAAAATAAACTTAAAATAGTATTGATAATAATAACGATAATGATAATGATAATGTATATAAATGAGTGATGCACAGTCCAATTGCTTACCATGTGCTGACAGTGATCCCAGAGGAGCAAAAAGGAACCCCAAACCTGACACCACAATCCTGGAAAAGCGAGCCCGAGCAGTCCCCGAGAGAATCCAGTTTTCCAGTCAGCCCTCCTTAATATACTGAACATGGCGTGATATGATATGATATGATATGATATGATATGATATGATATGATATGATATGATATGATATGATATGATATGATATGGAATATCTCGTTGGCATATCCAAATGTCAATTTTGGGTTGTGCTAATTACTATGCTTCGCCCCCCAAGTCCTTTGCACTTGCAGATTGGCCAAACACTTTCCCTGGACTTCCAGCAACAACTAAAAACATGAGTATGTTACCAACATTCTTTTCATAACAAATCCCACACTGAAACCAAAACACAGCACTATTCTACCTAAGAAGAAAATTAACCCTATCCTAGAGAAACCAGGACAGTACATGTCCCGCGAACAATTACTAGAGTCATGGAAATAGATACTGTTTGTTATGTGGTTTGTGAAAAGCACCACTGATTTCACATTGTGGGTCTTTTTGCATCCTAGCCTTTAAGATCCCATCCTCCTGGGTCACATAAATATATTAGTGTCTTCTAAAGAACTGGTCTACACTCAACTTTTTTATGGTAATGATTGTCCACTGTGTATTTTGAATTCTTTTCAGGAGAAAAGGAGGGCTATTGGGCTATATGTTCCCATTAATGCAGCCTGTGCATTCAAGTAACATGCCAGAAGTCAAGAAATTACTTGGCTTCTCATGTCAGCTGAGTAGCTGTTCTGCTGGCATCTGTGCTTAAATATACAAGAAAACAAAAGACCTAATTTAGCAATAAGGTGGTTTCCATGTGTGGTTGGGTTAGATTGCAGCCCTCATAAATGCAGGAAATTGATGCACTCATGAAGATCACCATTGTACAGATAGCTAATATAAGTTCTGAGGAGAAGGATCTAAGTGGGACAGAGGTTTTGAGTACAGGTCTCTAGAGAAGTGGGTGATATCTTTGGCACTTAACCAGATTATATAATCTTCTGAGGAAAGGCAGAAGAATATAATTATGAGCAAGTGGGAAGGGGATCAATAACTAATAAATCAAAGAAAGCATTATTGTTGTTGTTGTTGTTATAATATAATTGCTGAAATAAAAATAAACATTACCTCATGAATTCCAAAGTGAGCATAGGAATCAAAGTAATAATCCCTGGATGTCATCTCTTCTGGATTGATGAGTTTAGCCATCTTGCCTCGGCCCGGGCAGCTTGGTTGCAATGGAACGTGTATGACAGATTGAACTGGCTTTGGAACAACAGTAGGCTGAGGAGGCTGGGATGGGATGGGGCAAACCTAGAAGAACATGGAACATTGTTAAGAGGCATCATTAAAAGAAAACTTCTCTCTATGTCTAGCATAGTGATATTACTGTAACTAGTTAGGAGATAATAAGACAAAAAGCACCTGGGGTATCGTGAAATTTAGGTTCCTGGCTCTTTAACTTATATGCTTTGTCTAGGAAAATTTCCTTAATGGCTTTTTTCTTTACGTTCTTCTGCAGATACCTATATCAGTGCAAAGTAACGCCAAATTATTGGTGTTGGCTGAAGTGGGTGACTCCAAACATTGACAGAAGGTTGTTAAGAGCTAGGTTTGTTCCTTTAGTGTCTATTTCTGTCAAACTGCCACAGCTTTGTGAAAGGTAAGTTGTAATAAATAAATAGTTCTCCTACAAAGGAGAGCTCATAATCAAAGGATTTGGAACACAGTGTTGCCAACAAGAAGGAGAGGCTGAAGTCACTTGGATTGTTCAGCCCGGAGAAGAGAAGACTGAGAGGAGATCTCATGGTGGTCTAGAACTTCCTCCCAAGGGGAAGAGGAGGGGCAGATGCTGATCTCTTCTCTCTGGCCACCAACGAATGCCAGGAGCAGAGGAAATGGCAGGAAGATGTGGCAGGGGAGGGTGAAGTTGGCCATGAGGAAAAGGTTCTTGAGGCAGAGGGTGGTGGAGCACTGGAACAGGCTCCCCAGGGAGGTGCTCATGGCACCAAGCCTGACAAGATTCCAGAAGCATTTGGTCACCATGTGCTCTCAGGGACATGTTCTGAATGTTGGGCTTGTCCTGTGCAGGGACAGGAGTTGGACTGGATGATCCCTGTGGGTCCCTTCCAATTCACAACATTCTATGATTCCATGATTCTACGACAGGATTCACAATTGATTCTTAATTGTCAGGTAATATAACTGGCTGTATGGATGAGGTAGGTCTGAGAATGCTCATAATATTTGAAAGTCCCTGAGACTATCTGGAAGTCTCTCAGCATATCCAGAATGCACTGTCGGGAGCTGTGTGGAATATGCGATCCCTTAATTGAGTTTTCTGTTATGGGACATGCAGGAGTTACACCTTCTGGCACACTGCACTTCATTTCCCCTTGCGTATTGCAACTCCAACACCAAAATTTCAACAGAGCCAGAATGCTCACACCCCCTTGACTCAGATTTGACACCTGTAGCATCTAAGGCAGGAGACAGAATGTTTCACAAACATGAGACACAGACCACAGTCTGGCCCATAAGTACATCTACATCTTTCATGCTTAACATGAAGCAAAATGCTGAAAATTGAGAAAGACTGAGCAAGATGCTACAGCTTCACATATACACTAAGTCTCTTGCAAATTATGGCTCAACAACCACATCAGTAGGTCAACCCTACTTAAAATATGTCACCTTCTCTTGTATGGTTTTTTTTTATAATTTATTTTCAGATTTAGTTATTTCCCAGTGGGCACCAGATTTGCCTGAGCATCTCCTAGATACTCTCATAAAGTTCATTCTATCTTCTACAGCTTGATACTGCAAGACATCAATCCCTTATACTCTCTCTGAATAGCACCAATTAGCCTAGTTCAGTTTATTTTAATACAAAAAAGCCCACATTTTTTTCCCTTGTTAATTTGAAGATTTAAACGTGTCATCTTTTGATGGTTTCTTTGATCCATCTGTGAACAATGAATACTAGTGATTTATGTTCCTCTAACACCTTTTATCCCCAAAGATCTGATAGTGCTTTATTTATATGTCTTTTCTATTTCTGACATTTTTTAATTTATCACCTCACCCAGTTCACCTCCCACACAGAATACAATTGTTCCCAATTGGTATTTGTATTTCTGTCCTATCTAGCTTTAAAAAGTCCATCTGCAGTCATTTCTTTTCAGAGACTATTTCATTACCTGTTCATTGCAACCAACACCTTGACAGCTCAATCTGTCAAGGTGTTGCTTCTAATATTCAACCTTTCCAAATTTAATCCTTATACCTGAGGTTATATTCTAACATTTTTCTCCATTGGTGTATACACTAACAAATTTTTGCAGTTACAGGATCACAGAATCACAGAATGGTTTGG